AAAAAAAGATGAAATGGACAACCATAAAAAGCTCAAAGAGCTTGTACAAACGTGGTGCCCAGTAATTTAAAACGTTAAGTAAATTAGGTTAAAAATTAAAAAGCATTCAATAAAATAATTAAAATATTTCAGATTAGGATAAAATACGATCAGATATATGCAATTCAAAATAAAAATTAATTAGTATAATCATGGAGATGGACATAATTATGTATTAAATAAGAGACTAATGAATTAAGAGCTACAAATATACATTAGCTGTTAAATGGGGGTGAGCTTAGTGGAAGGGTCCATAATCTAATTCGTAGTTTGAACTGTGCATGCCCATAATAAGATCAATCAACATAAACAAGCATTCAGACGACATTAGGTTTATGTCGACTGACTTTAGATGTACGAGCATGCTCGAACAATCAATTGGCTTATTCACACGTACAGTTTTTACTAGAGAATGAACATGGTCTTGTGGGTCAGCTAATGTTACTGCAACGCCATTAATTGTGGTAAATTTGGCACTACACTTTTTTTTTCGAAGAGTGGAGACCTATTACGTTGTATGATCTCGTAAATAGGCCATGTTGAAATGACGGTGTCAAAGTATGAGAGTACAGGTGATTCTGAGCTTTATTCCGAATAGATCAAACCCGTCTCGTTGGGCCAAAACACAAACTGTTCTCGTGGTGGCACCACCGGGGCCGGGGGAGACCAGGTACCACCCCCCCCCCCCTCTGTATGGGAGTACTGCCGCTCCCGCGTCGGAGAGAAGAACCACAATTCGTCGGGGAGAAAAAAAAATGTATACGTATTTTCTACATATTAGTTGACTCGATTAAATATCGATTAAATAATCCTTTGAAACCCCTAAATTGTCATATTTTTTTCGCAGGAGATTTTGAGCGACGCCCGACCACACCTACATTTTCTTTCGTCGGGGACATATCGGTCCAGGATCCTGGCTCCACCACTGACCTGTCTCCCTCCAACTAAAGGCCACTTCTTGGACCTGGGTTTTCATGTTCTTTAGCAACTCTAGTCTGAATAAGAGATGCGGTAAGGTAACACAGGAAAGCGATCTTTAATTGGACGGGGTATTTAATTGGAGGGATCTTTAAAATGGCCCAAAATCTAATTTACATATACGGTAATACAATATAGGCCTATTTGTTTCCACTTGATACAATAAAAATATACTTGTCCAAGTTCAAATGGAATTGTCCATTGTTGATCAGCATACCTGGGCAGTGTTATGGTAATTAGGTGCCTGTAGAACAATAGACTACCTACTAGGCTAACTAGGATACTGTCAGTTGTGATCACCTCGAAAGTAAAGTGGAGAAAACCAAGAAAAACCCTACCGCATCAAATTAAGTCAAGCATAGAAACCTGGTTTGTTGGCCTAGCCTTGAATTCCAGAAGATAGCATGGACTCTCGAACTGGAATTTACCGTACATTTTGTAACGATGACAGTAAATTAGATTTCGTTTAGCTTGGGAAAGTGAGCGATAAGCTGGTTTTTTTTAAGCTGGTTTTTCTTTTCCACTAGGCGAATTTATTCATTTATATCGAGTGTTTGCGAAGCGAAACATGCGCAACCAATCAGAGCTCAGTAAGCGAACTGACCTCTGATTCGCGCGAATAAATTCGCCTGGTGGAAAACCGGCTTGAGGAACACTCTCACATCAATTAAGTAGGCCTAATTACTAAATAGTGGCGTTGACATAGGATACAGATACACTTCGGCCTATGACTTATACAAACTTGCAACATTTTAGTGAAATTTAAGAGAAGGAGAATGATACCTGCCCCGAGAGAGGTTACATCGTAGAAGTATATAGCCTAACGAGGCAGCATTATAATGTATTCGCGTTATTATTTCAAAGAAGAAATAATGTATGTTTCGCACTTTCGACATAGTCAACTTTGTAAATTATGCCGACCCATACAAAATACAAGAGCGACGGATGTTTCGTTTTAAACTGTAATGCAGTTATCGGAAGCAATTACTATTGTGGTCTTTATTAAACCAAGGAGGTAAAAAAACCCACAAGAATATAAAGGTGGCAGCTAGAAGCAGAATTATTAAATGTATACTTCCTTGTAATAGTTATTAGGTCCACTGTAGCGGTGTATCCAAAGAATCACGTTGAGGTGCAAAGAGGGGATAAATTGGATTTTCTTCTAAGGATTCCCCCAAAAAAGTAGAACGTATCCTACGCTCATCAATTAATAATGATCTATCTAAACAAATTCAGTCCAAATTCTGAAAAATTAACACAATTTTCTGAATCATGGCGTTTTAACAATTTGCTTAGGTATTCTTTTCTATTGCTGAAGAGACAGTTTCAATCTTCACATATTCTATCTTTTAGTTTTTACATTCATATAAACAACTGGGTCTTCATTGGTACTCAAATCTTGGTAGGTCTGGCTCTCCGTCTTCTGTTCACTAGTATATGTCATGTAGGTCTATGATAACAGAATAAATACCATACTAATAATAGGCTTTTAATTCTCTATGCTTTAAAATCAATATTATTTTAATACTTAACTGAACTTCTACAAAAATACGCGTTACAACACAAGGTCGTGTTGGGATTGCTATTATTGGGAAGGTTTAATTGGGTATGGGGTCGCAGAAACCCGCCTAGGGTCAAAAGCCGGTTGAGCTCCGATAGATTACTTGTTAAGTTTATTTAAGATTTAAGATTCCCTTTTAAATTTTATGACATAAAATATCAAAATGTGTATTCAATACATTTCGACTGTCTTGAAAATGTGGATCTTCATCGATTTAGTGGGGTGGGGAGGAGGGGGATTCTGAAGTTGTTGTAAACTATCTTACCTCCACTTGTTTCCCAGTTTGCGCTTCTTCTGACGACTTTAATGTAAAATAATGAAATAATATCAACATTTTATATTTCTGCCAATAATCAAAATATGCAATTAAAATTATATAGGCCTATGCTTGCCATTAATGTATTACAGCTAGGGCAAATCATTAAGATAATATAATTAAAAGATAGTAATACAGATTGTAGTTCATTGCCCTTTGCAATAACTTAGCCTACTGTACTTAGCAATTCTATAATGTACGTTCCTTTGTATGTTCCATTATTGTCAGCAATAATCAGTAATTATGTTGTATTACTTACCTTTGAAGATGAAGTTTTCAAGATATTAGCAAACACAACTGACGACAATACAATTCCGATGACTATACCCAGAAAAGTCATTCCAACAACAAGACCCGTGTCCGAGCCTGGACAATGTTCACGTTTTTGAGATTGTTGTATTGTTACCTCGGGTTCTAATAAAGGAACGTATACACACATTTGGTAAGGCCTTTTCTTTCGTCATTGTTTGTGTTAGTCTCTTTATACGTGATAGATGGAGGAATTGAAGGGAAAGGACCAAGATGACGGAGGAGAATGATGATGTTGGACGACATTAAGGAAGAAGGAGTTACCACCAGGTGAAGAGGGATGCAGAGAATCGGGAGTACTGGAGAATGTTATGGGGAACACTAATGATGATGATGCACATCGTTATTGTAACGTGATAAAAAAAAAGTTTGTCTCAGCGGCTTTATATAAACTACTATTATATAAACTACTTGCCAGGTAGCCTCGTTCGCTCGCTCGTGTTCGTTCGCTCGCTCGTTCGTTCGTGCGTGCGTTCGTTCATTCATTTAATATTTAATTTCATTGTATAACATTGGCAATACAGTGAAATTAAGTTGGCTCGTGTAAAGCATGGTGAAAAATAAGATACTGTAAATTTAACATGTATACTAAAAAACACAATTAGGCCTATAAACTATCATTTAGTGCGTCAATGACAGAAGGATAAAAAAATGATCTGGTTATAGTGTTTGTTGTAGGGAGGGCTTTACTAAGGTACTTGCCCGGATTAATGAGTGCTTGTCTTTTTTTAGAAGACGTCCATTGAACAATCTCTCTATTGATAATTGATGAGACCCCAATCGTACGAAATTCACCAAAATTAAAACTAAAATACAATGTTAAACTATCAATGAAACTCGAATACACAGTTAAATTATAAGAGTAACGTCATGTCTATCGTCTATCATGAATACAATTATAACAAAAGAAATTTAATAGTAGAAATATCATAAATAAAAAGAACATTGATAATTTCTAATTTGAAATAACGTAAAGAAACAATAAATAATTAACTATGTAAAAGCAAATTTTAAATTGTTCTAATATGGAATTTAATCACGGGCATTTTAATGTAAGTACATTATTTAATTGTAGTCGTTATTGGCTTTCAAGTTTACAATTTATGTATGAATAAATAACTATAATTTGGAGACATAATGTAGATGCTGAAGTACTTGTTGATGGCATAAAAAGCATATCTATTTGCAATCAAAACACAAGATTATACTAAATAATTCTCATTATCAATATTTCTTCAGCAACATGATTAACTGGATTCTTTCAAAAAGAAATTGTTCTCAAGTGACATATTACAGTATGTTACATTGGCATTGTATTAAGGTAACTAATACATACACTCTTGTTTTTTTTAGTTATTTAAAAAAATCATTTTGGTATATAATTTACAATCGATGGCGAATGGCTGAATTTGATGACATTACAACATAAACACATATAAATGCATTAAAAGGAGGCATTGGAATTTATTTCTATATACATTAAAATTACAAATAACTAAGCAATTGATATTAAAAGTTGAGGTGTTAATATTTGTTGTCAAAAAATCTAAATTCATGAAAAAATCCTTAATTACACATTAAATTAATATACACAATTCATCAAAATTCCATATAAAAATATCCTTAACTAATTTCACCTATTATTAATATATTTTAATATTTATTCAAATTACAAAATATCCCACCGAAAAATATCACATCTTCTGCAGGTGTTAATGTATACGGGATCTCTGCATTTTCACCCAATTTGGCTGTGGCAGGATCTACTCCTGTCACCGACGATCCAGATTGAGCAAGGATACCTGGAACTTAGCAAAACAAAATGTAAAAAAAATGAAGCACAAATATTGGGTGAAGGAACTTCCTGAAAAATATGATGGTATTTAGGTTATAACTATAGGCCTATATTGCTCTATAGTTGAAATGTTAAAGAATATTATAACTATGCAAACCTTGCCACCAATATTATTTACCGTTATCTTTTACTAGTAGACATGTTTATCAGGTATTTTCTAGCAATTAAAGAAAAGAAAATGTCATATTTACCAAAGTTTAATACCAAGGTTATCAGGCAAGCAAAGTACATTTTTTGATGATGGCTACACAGCTTGTATTCAGTATTATACTGTATTGCCATACATTGCGGATGTCCTGTTCACCTACTGACATGCAGTAGGAGTAACTAATACCGGTATATTATTAAAAAAACACAAACAAGTACAATCCATAGCAACCAGATTGCAAAATACATTTTGCTTCCTTGCACTATTTCCTATTCCATTCAGTGGCGTATACTGTATGGGAGATCCAGTAGCGAATCTAGGGGGTGAATAGGGTGGCTAGCCACCCCCCCCCCCCCCCCCCCCCCCCCCCCCCCCCCCCCCGGTGACCTCGAAAAAAAATATGGTCACTCGTCTTGCGTGTGTGCTTCTCATGTATACATGTTAAATGTTGTAGTACTCTCGTAAAACATACACTTTCTATTTTAAGCTTAACTTTTCAGATGTCATCCAAGAGCGTCTAGCCGTCTACTAATTCCAAACAAATCTCAAATGGAAGAAGATAGGCCTACCTCTCCCCAAAAACCCATGATCAAGGAGAAACAGGGGGACACGTCCTCAAGTTATTAAAGGTAGGGGAGGGGGTTAATTCATCACTTTCCGTCCGCAATGTAATAATTTCATGCCTAAATAATAAAATTGGTTTTCGGCACATGGCAAAGTAAATTAAAAATACATCAAAGACAATTGAGTTTTATTTTCAATGGAACATCACAGCGATAAATTTGATCGATGAGGATTAATTTTATTATATAATAGTGTCATTTCCAGCAATCTAGAGGTACCGTACTATTTCCACAAATGTTACAACCTCAGCCCTTAACTATGGTGTGGACTAATGAAGTAGGTAGGTTTTAATTAAATACGTCAAAGACAATATTTTTAATATTCATTTTCTATATATTAATACATGTTAATTAGGTATCTATGGTTGCCGAAAATCACAGGTAAAACATAAGAAATTTGTTGGCGCTTCATTTTGACTATAAATGGTGATGTGATGACGATGAATTTTACTATATAAAAGTGTCATTTCAGGTCATCTAGAGCTACTACTTCCTTAAATTTTCGCTCATGAAATTACCCCCACACTTTTCGAAACAGATCTGCGCTCTTGTCAAAACCACGCCGCCCACCCCCACCCCCCGACTTCTGTCTCTTATACACATCTAAAAAATCCTTAAAAAACAAGTTCTTTTTGAAAATACTCTCAATTTTATAAATATTGTGAAACATAATATAAAAATTATCAGTCAACAAGTCTAATTGCTAGTAAATGTAATGAATCGTTCTGCTAAGCCCCGCTCTTTTGATGTCTAGCATAAGGTCCCACAAAAAGACAGCGTTGACGTGCTGAAATACGTGCGTTTGCGATTCTCTTGGTTTTTTTTTTAAATGTTTAATGACTTTGTAAATTTTTGATTGTAAATTCAATCTATATTTTATATGATTGCAATAAAGATATTTGTATTTGTATTGTATTGTTTGTGGGACAACATATGTGTAGGCCTAACACCCCCCCGCCATCTCGTTGGGCCAAAACACAAACCGTTCTCGGGGGTGGCACCACCGGGGCCGGGGGAGGAGGCCAGGCACCCCCTCCCCGTATTGGAGAGCTGCCCCTCCCCTGTCGGGGAGAAGAGCCACAATTCGTCGGGGAAAAATTTATATGTATTTTGTACATATTAGTAGACTCGATTAAATATCGATTAAATAATCCTTCGAAACCCCTAAATTGTCATGTTTTTTCTCCCAGGAACTCTTTCGAGGGATTTTTTAGCGACGCCCGACCACACCTACTTTTTTTTTTGTCGGGGACATATCGGTCCTGAATCCTGGCTCCACCACTGACCTGTCTCCTTCCAACTAAAGATCACTTCTTGGACCTGTGTTTTCATGGTCTTTAGACTTTAATGTAAAATAATAAAATAATATCAACATTTTATATTTCTGCCAATAATCAAAGTATGCAATTAAAATTATATATGCTTGCCATTAATGTATTACATCTAGGGCAAATCATTAAGGTAATATAATTATAGAGATAGTAAAATACAGATTGTAGTTATCTCCCTTTGCAATAACTTAGCCTACTGTACTCAGCAATTCTATAATGTACGTTCCTTCGTATGTTCCATTATTGTCAGTAATAATCAGTAATTATGTTGTATTACTTACCTTTGAAGATGAAGTTCTTGTTTTCAAGAGAATAGCAAACACAACTGACGACAATACAATTCCGATGAATATACCCAGAAAAGTCATTCCAACAACAAGATCCGTGTCCGAGCCTGGACAATGTTCACGTTTTTGAGATTGTTGTATTGTTAACTCGGGTTCTAATAAAGAAAAGTGTCGTTTTCCCATTAGAATAGCGCCGCAAATTAAGAAATGAAATGAGCTTACATGTGAAGTACCGTAGTTGCTTAAAAAATTCAATGAAAACATAATAAACCGTATTTCATATTTAACAATAATATTGTTGAAAACGATGTAAATGTTTACAAATGTTTATTTTGACCATTAAATTAGGACATATATATTTATATTCGATTTTTAGTTGGAATTCTACAATTATTTATTTACAACAATTACTAATCTCTACTGGTACAAGTAAACAATGAGTAATATGTACTTACGAGTAGCCACCGACAGTGTCCCTGTATTACTCAGCTTTCCCTCATACCCACTGTAAGCTGCATTCTCTGCTCGACATTGATAGTCTCCTTCATCCATTTTATTGACTCCTCTGATCACTAATGTTGTCTCTGACTGTGGATACTTCTCAGTATCAGTCACATCAAGTACATCGCCATCTTTGATCCATGTGATGTTGATGATATGTGTTGGAACATCAGGCAAAAGACATGCGAATATTGCATATTCCGTTTCATTGACATATGCCTTTCTCGGTGCCAAAGTGGGTGTATCAAGTTCTATGATCATTTAAAAAAAATATATATTTTTATAACAGATTCCACCAAATAAAGTCATATTTCAGATGGTTATTGTAATGTAATCATTAAATTACAAAAAAAAATTTTTTAAAATGACAATGTTAAAGTCAAAACTCACAGTGGACTGTTAATGATGCGTACCCGGTTGAGATTAGTTATAATAAGATCTTCTCGTACTCCACATGCATCACTTTTAGACCAAGTCACCACCGCAATTGCTTCTCCTGGAGCAGGTGTGAATGTAAATGTCGCATCTTCACCCAATTTTGCTGTAGCAGGATTTACTCTCACAGATCCAGATTGAGCAAGAATACCTGAAAATAAACAAAGGTTTGAAACCAACTATATTTAAGGAAAGTTACCTGAACATTGTGGAACATGATGTAAAGAAGACTGAGTATAAAATCCCTAGAACTATATACTGTATATGTAAAAGTATAAGTAGGCCTATATTATTGCTGTATAGTTAGAATGTTTTTATGACTGTAGTTCTAAATCATATACTTTTAACTTTTACTAGTAGACATGTGCTTTATCGGGTAGCCTCTAAAAATTTTGGAGTATTCAAGATAAGAAAATATCATATTTACCAAAGTTTAATACTAATGTTATCAGGCAGGCAAAGTGCATTTTTTGTGATAGCTAAACAATTCGTCTTCATACATCATACATGACCTTAGAAGCATTGAGTATGTTGTATTCACACAATTGGCTATAGACCATAAAGACGGTCTGGAGGCGGAAACGCAGTATTAAAGTAATTGTTAGTGGTCTGTTTATATATAAAACAAACGAACAATAAGTACAGTAAAATACATACCATCCAGCCTGATTCTAAATAATTTATAATCAGGTATGTGTATAATATTTGACTTCCTTGTATTAGTTCCTGTTCCATTTCGTGGCGTATATTTTACAGGTAACTCCAGTGGATGTTAGTGCTGGCGCCATAAATCAGCCACTCCACCACCCCTACCCCCCACCAAAAAAAAAAACAAAAAAAAAAAACACACACACATATGATAACCAATACTCTCAATTTTACAAATATTGGGACTTGGGAAAGTCTAATTACCCGTAAATGGACGCAATCGAAAATTATTTTTTCAGCGTACATTCGTTTTTCTTCTGTCAAACATCTTATGAATCTTATTAGTGCAATTTATTTCTGATTATTTTGTGTTAACCATTGAATTATATTCATTTAAGTTGCTAAATTTATACTTTCGAGTCGGTAAGCATACTTTCTTTTTTAAAATTATTATTCTGTATTGTACCTAACTTTAAAAATTGACGGTTAGATTTTTGAGCATTTAAATTAAAATGAACATATTTTAGGCAAACAGATACACTGCAGAAAGGAAAACGCTTACACTGTATTGCATGATATTGTCATTTAATCGATGACGAAAAGTAAAGTTTAGAAATAGAGTACAACAAATAGGTCAGCACTCGACTAAAATAAAATCCATCCATTAAAATGCTGACCCTACTACAAATTATGCAATTCTATTTCGACCAGTTACAACTAAAAAAGGTTTATCTAAAAAGCCTCATAGGTTATACTTGGAGTTGCACTGGAATACAAATACCTAAGCATCAAACGTAATAACGAATACAGTATAGGCCTATATTATTTCGTAACATCAAATAGTAAAAATTACACAGTATATATGACAATATGTGAAGACTGGGTGCCAGAAAGGCCAGACTTCTACCGACACTTGGAGGTGTGGATGTGTAAAGGGGTGGTGGTGGGAACGATTAAATTTTGTAGTCATTCTCTAGTGCGGTCATTAATGCAAAAGAGCAATACAATTGTGTTCGCCTATAATATGCAGTGTACGAATTTGGAAAGGAAAGCAATTTTATAAATTGTAATTACTTTTCTCCAAACTCAAAATATCTATAGTATTTTCTGAACCCATCACCAAGGTAAAGTTAACTTTATTCATCTATACAGTACAGTATACATAGAAATTGAAAGTAGCTTGCTACGATTACAAATTAATGAACATACAAAAAACATTCTTACAATGTAATACGAAAATTCATTAAAATATTTAAATTTTATACAAATTTACCAAAAATTAATAATCGCTTAAAATTTGAATTATGATGTTTCATAGCCATACGAATAAATGACCGAAGATGACGGTTTGTGACAGCAGCCGTTGGTCTCAGTCTGCTACTTCGTTGTACTATACGTTAAACTACCGGTAATTCACATTGGAGGGGATGATATTGATCTGTCATTCATCACAAGTGTTGTATTTAGTCGCTTATCAATACCATTTTCTCTATGTCAATACCGAATCCACCGACTGCTGACTCAAACCGATCACCTTTTCAATTCTCCTTATAAAACAGTCTATCTCTCTCCCGTTGCAACGTATTCCCACCTCGCCAATCGGACAGTAATTTCATACCCCACATAAAATTATAGACATGTAAAAAATAGAAATAATTTCATAACGCATACTAAAAGCATTACGCTTCTGAAGGTGGTACATTTTAGAAATCAATTTCTTCATCATAAAATTATATATCATAGGCCAAATTCATTTTCAATCTTTGAATTTTCTATCTTTTTGTTTTTACATTCACATAAAAATCTTGGTTGTCTTCATTGGTCCTTAAATCCTGGTACGTCTGGCTCTCCGTCTTCGGTTCATTATTATACGTCATGTAGGTCTAAGATAAGAGAATAAATGCTAATGATAGGCTTACATAATAATATTTGCTTTGAAACCAATATTATTTAAATTCTTAATTAAACTTTTACAATCGCGTGACAACACAGGGCCGCAACCAGGATTGCTATTGGGTGGGTGCGCTGTAGTGCAACGGCGGCGGAACGTTTTTGAAAGTGGTGGGAGGTGCATTTCATAAGGTACTAAATCCAGTATGCGATCGAAGCTGGCATCTAGGCTGGGGCCATGGTCCGCCAATTTTCCCCGGTGGGGTCCACGACAAGGAGTTCTCCTGGAAGCTACGGATATTTGACGAAGTTTGGTGAATTGTATTAGTTATTTTATAGACATCAATGTACTGTAATATGACTACATAATTGTTGTATTTTCCGAACAAAGTCGAAGTCGAGATTGCTTCCACAATCACAATGAATTATTCATAATGTGAGGGATATCATTAATATGGTATTCCCCGACGAAAATATTACCCTTCTAGGAGCCCGCTAATGGTACTTGAACAGTGGCGGGTCCAGGAAGGAACAAGGAGGGACTGCACAGATAATGTCCGCCCGCCTCAGCGCCACCATGGTTGGGGCTGAGGCAAGAAAAAAAAATTAAATTAGGCACCTCTAGATGGCCGGAAATTTCACTTTTAGATTTAAATTTGAATATAATTTTTTGTTCTCTCTATCTTTTCTAATAATTTTGAAAAAAAGGAGGGGGAACCCGTACCGGCTGGGCTCCGCCACTGTTTAATATAACATTTTATAATTTTCTGTTTTCGATCCATCTTTTTTAATAATTTTTAAAAATTTAGGAGGGTGGGGGCCCGTGCCGGCTGGGCTCCGCCACTGTTTAATATAACATATGAACTATCATTTTGTTTCACAAAGATTAACTTGTAATGTAAAGCTAAAGGATTTTCACTACAGTTTTTACACCTATAATTAATTACGATGTATAAATTCTGTAGTTGGTGGTCACCAATTCCATCGTGGGATTTTAGATGTGCTAGCCTTTTAATCATGTTTTCATTTTTATTCTAAATGTTTTTAACGACGAATAAATAATATAATATCAGTGGCGGATCCAAGTATTTGAAGTAAAAGGGCCAGGGTGTGAACTCCACAGATGGAGAGTCTATACCACCTCAGTCCCACCATGGTCGGGGCTGAAGTAAGAAAATTAATGACTATGGCACCTATAGATAGCCGAAAACGGCACTCACAGACATAAAATTGAGAATGTAATTTTCTTTTTATCTCTATTTAACTATTTTGACAACTTTAGTGTGGCTCCGGACCGGCAAGCCCTCCCCCTCCCTCTTTATTCAACCACTGGATATAATATGATATATGTCCTACAGTCGATTTCAGAGACACATTATGCTGTTGCCCTTGGGGCTGAAATAAGAAAATGTAATGATTATTGCACGTCTAGATGGCCGGAAATGGCACTCACGGACCTAAAATTGTGAATATAATTTGAAGGATGGCACACTTGTTTGACAATAAAATTAAGTTCTGGTAAAATATCTTACCTCCACTTGTTTTCCCGTTTGCGAATCGTCTGATGACTTTAAGATAAGTTAATAAAATAATATTTTGATTATGTTTTTTTCAATAATTAAAATATCATTAAAATTGTGTATGATTTTTACCATTAATGTATTACATCTAGGGCAAATCACTAAGGTAGGGCCTAATATAAATATAAGAAAATGCACCGTTTCTATCAATTTGATCAGATTGTAATTGCCACCTCCCTTTGCATTAACAATTGTACTCAGCAACTCTATAAAATGTACGTTCCTTCGTATATATACGATAATCAGTAATAATCAGTATAATGATTATGTTGTATTATTACCTTTGAAGATGAAGTTCTTTTTTTCAAGAGAATAACAAATACAACTGACGCCAATACAATTCCGATGGCAATACCCAGAGAAGTCATTCCAACAACAAGACCAGTGTCTGAACCCCGGTCTGGACATGAACAACCGGGTTCAGATTTTTGAGTGTGTTCTGTACTTGCCTCCGGTGCTAATAAGTAGGAAACGTAGAGGCTAATTTAATAATGCCTTATCTCTCGACAATTTTCGCATAGGTTTCCCCTTACCTGTTCGCATATGATATATCTACTTTGAAGTAGAATGCTACACAATTATCCATAAATTTATATCATTATTTTAACGTAATTCTAAAACATGCTGTCTCAGCAGCTTTGTCATACGGCCTAGGCCTATATCAACAAACTAAATATTGAATACAGTTTTAAACTATAAATTTGTTTGTAAGAGTATCTGTATGTATATCATAATAGAATCATAACAACAGATATTTCATTTTAAATATAAGCCTATTATATATATAGGCCTATATAGGCATATATATATAAATATAAATAAATAAAAAGCGAGGTTGAACAGTAGCTTTGATTAGACATTTTATTACGACTTAGTTTCGTACCACACACATGGTGTGACACTCTTCAGATAAAATTGCCTAATGACTAAAAAACATAGAAAGACAATTGATTGAGATAAGCTGAGCATGCGCAGAAAGCCAGAGCGGTAATACAAAGGGTTCAATTAGTTGGGTCTGATTAAGGTTTGATAAACAATGAAAGGGATTTAAAGCGATAAACATAAGTTAAGTAGCAACGTTACATGGGAAAGATTTTTGCATGCTAGGAGGGGGTTAAAATAAAATTAAGTTACAAAATTTCTTAGAAGAAATTTGTTGGCATGCCTGCATGCTGAAACAAGTCTCTTATACACATCTAGATGTGTATAAGAGACAGCAATTGTTACGGTATTAATTCAGAAATCACAATGGGATGCTCTGAATAAGGCCATTATCAAATCGGAATTGGTGGGTGGGAACATTTTAGGTTGACATTGTAAAATGTTATTGTCGTGATGGAATAGACAATAACTGGATTTGCGTCAGGAGAATCAATGCCCTACCTAACGTGGAAATGTACTGAATACTCAGTATGTTGAATTCAACCCTGGCCATCAGGCGCAAGCTCGGTGGTATAGAGGTATGATGCCAGGCTAGTTATCTGGAAATCGTGGGTTCGAGTCCCACCCAAGAACAACTTGCGATTTTTTCGCAATTGTTTTAACACGTACTGAGTATTCAGTTAATGGTGAGTAAGTCCGTGTAACTGTCTGTTTGTAACCAGTTTGTGTAGTTGCTCTCACACAGATATTAACCTCTATCTTCGTTTGTAGCACTAGAAATTATCAGGTATCCAATTCTATTTAAGTTACAGCGGCACCTTCTTGTGCCGTATTCAGTTTTACATTTTTTTGTAATTTTAAGTTAATTTTCTTTTTCTATAGGCCTATGTATTATCATTTTCGTATACTCCATGGATGCACCATGCATATTGATGAGTGTCACCAGTGGCGTAGAAAAGTATTTTTCATTGGGTGGGGGGATGATTGGCGTGTTAGCCAGTGTCGCAACAGGGGTGGGGGGAAACTGCCCCTCCCCTGGCGGTTTTTACCGGGCTGACCAAGCCTTCGTACCGGGCTGGGTAATAAGAGAAAAGAAAGAGGGGAGAGGGAGGGAAAGAGAAAGAAGAGGAAAAGAAAAGGAAAGGAAAAGAAAAAGAAAAGAGAAAAATAAAGACAAGAAAAAAAAGGAAGATATCATAATGACCAGACTCACAACACCCTGCAACCCCTTCTCCACTTCAAAAACTGTCATAACTCCTTTGATCTATGCTGCCCGATGGCGTAACCACTGGGGGACAAGGGGAAAATATCTATCTTTGGAAAATCTTTTCCACCCCTTTATAAATGCCCTTTTCATCCCCTGAAAGTGCCTAAAAACCTCAAATTTCGCACGCTTAGCGCGCATTTCTTGTTAACATGGGCCAATTTCCTCTTATATCCTTTTAAGTTATTTAAACACATAATAGTTCCAAATTCATGAAAGACAAATTTAAGATAGATCGTTTTAACCTAAAAGAAGGGCCTCAATGTGTATTGATGGTGAAAGAATATGTTTGTAATAAATAAAACCATGATGAAAATGCTTATATTTAGTTCCAAACACACGTGTGTGGCCTATATTATAAATAAGCCCTGTCGTATTGTTTTCTATATGGGGAGTGGGGTGGGGTGGATATGGTAAATTACTAACCGGGAAAATAAATACCCACTCTGACCCAAGACCCCTGTTCAAGCCTGGGGTTAGCGCAAATGTGTGCCCTTGTGCGGACAGGGGATGTGCCCCCCTCTGAAGCTGGAAACCTTGTTTTTGCAAAATAAATTGATGCAATTTGCTATTATAGGCCTAATCAATAAATTCCTCATCAACCGATATAATCTTAAACATTCTTGGAATTGACATAACATTACTGATGTCGTACACACCCTTCAGTGTGAAATGTGGCTCTCTTTGCAAGCACATCTAACATCTAAGGAAAGAAGAGCTTAGATTGGTACCACATAAAATAATTTTGTTATCAACATTAATACATTATGCTAATTTTCATCTTTGTAAGCGCATAAGACAGTGCAAATTATTTCTGTGACAGTCTTTTGAAGTGTGTAAAGCTCCATTTTATCTCATACAT